GAAAAGGAATGAATAAGGAAGCATTTGCTCATCTGAAATGCTGGGAACAGGCTGTGCCTGTGGGAGATCCTGGTTATTTTGAGTCCGTGTGGTTATTGGAAGAGCTCTAGCAGTGATACCATTAAGCCCAGCTCCAGATGCGACGTGAGGTTCTGGAGAGCTCCCAGAGCTCTCGTGAGGTTCCTCAATGGATATTTGTATTTATTGCACAGCCTGGTGGCAGGTGTAACAGGCCCTCCCCTCCTGGCCCCCAGGTTTGTCCGGACCGACGCCTACGTGCGAGCCATGACGGAGAAGAGGATCGTCATAACGGAGTTTGGCACCTACGCCTACCCAGACCCCTGCAAGAACATCTTCTCCAGGTACCTCGGCGTGCTGCACACGTTGCTGGGATGTCCTACGGAATTTCTGCTTCCCAGGAGCCCCTGACTGCCTGTTGGTTTTCTCTGCTCAGGTTTTTCACCTACTTCAAAGGTGTGGAGGTGACGGATAACGCCCTGGTGAATGTTTACCCTGTGGGTGAGGATTACTATGCCTGTACTGAGACCAACTTCATCACCAGGATTAACCCAGACACCCTGGAGACCATCAAGCAGGTGGGTCTTTGTCCTGGGCAGACAGAGGTGTGGGGAAGTAAAACTAAAATGAAAATCATGGACTCACAGAATGGATTGGGTAGGCAGGGATCTTAAAGCCCATCCAGTGCCACCCCTGCCATGGCAGGGACACCTCCCACTGTCCCAGGAGCTCCAGCCCCAGTGTCCAGCCAGGGATCCAGGGGCAGCCCCAGCTGCTCTGGGCACCCTGTGCCAGGGCTGCCCACCCTCACAGATATTCTTCCCAAAATCCCATCTAACTCCAAATATCCTGCCCCTCCATCCCTTGTCTCTCTCCAGCTCTCCTGGAGCCCCTTTAGGCACTGGAAGGGTCCTCCCTGAACCTTCTCCTCTCCAGGCTGAACACCCCCAGCTCTCCCATGGCAGAGGGAGCATCTGGAGTTTGCAAATCAGAGCTCAACTGCAGACTTTGAGAGGAACTTCCCACATGCAGAGCAAGGATGTATTGGCTCACAACACCTTGCAGAGCTTGCGCCTTCCCACCTCCTTCCAGGGCAGCTCCTGACTCTGTCCATGCTGTTCTCCAGGTGGATCTCTCTAAATTTGTGTCTGTCAATGGGGCAACAGCTCATCCCCACATTGAGAACGACGGCACCGTTTACAACATTGGGAATTGCTTTGGGAAAAACTTTTCCCTGGCCTACAACATCATCCGGATTCCTCCTCTGCAGGCAGGTCAGTCAACCCCACCTCTGAGGAGCTGGGAAACTTCTCCCTTTTGAGTCATTTCTTTATCCTTTAAATGAACTTTGTTATCGAGTTAGGTTTTTTCCTAAGCCATTTCAATTTTTTTTTTTAATGTTGTATTTAAGCCACTTCCAGGTGGCTTCTAAATGATGATTCTATGTTAAAGGCAGAAATTTGCTGGGTAATGCTGTAAGTACAGACCAAGTGTGGGTGAGACCTCCATAACCTCTCACCTGTCCCATTCCAGACAAGGAAGACCCCATAAACAAGTCGGAGGTGGTGGTGCAGTTCCCCTGCAGCGACAGGTTTAAGCCCTCCTATGTCCACAGGTAACGTTCCATGGGGTCAGCAGGTCAGCTGGAACCAGGGACTAGTTTTCACATGTAATCAGCAATGAAAATTAGGTGATTAACCAAAATCAGGGTAATTTTGAGTGATGATCCATGTGTTTACGATGAGCAACTCCATGGTTTTCATCCAAACTGGCCCCAGTGAGCCTGATGTGCTCCCCTGCTTTTCACAACAGCTTTGGGCTGACCCCAAACTACATCGTGTTTGTGGAGACACCAGTGAAAATCAACCTCCTCAAGTTCCTCTCCTCCTGGAGCCTTTGGGGAGCCAACTACATGGACTGCTTCGAGTCCAACGAGACCATGGGGGTAAGCATGGGGTCATCCCAAACCGGGCTGGACTGGGCAGCCAGACCTGGGCTGGGAGGTCCATTGGCTCCACCTTCAATTCCCTGAGCCTAAGCCCGGCTGCTGTGTGGTTTCCAGGTGTGGCTTCACGTGGCAGAGAAGAAGAAAGGCAAGCTCCTCAACCTCAAGTTCCGCACCTCGGCCTTCAACCTCTTCCACCACATCAACACCTACGAGGACAACGGGTTCCTGATTGTGGACCTGTGCACCTGGAAGGGGTGAGGCCAAGGGTCCCTGGGCATCACAACTGCCCCTATGCCACTTCCTGCCCTGGCATATCCCTGCTGGGGCCTCTGGCACTTCCACCGACCCATTTAACACGTGGTGACACATAGACTATACAGCATTTTCATCTCTAGAGGTGCAGGGGGCCTGCTTGGCACTCATAATCCAGGAGAAAAATATTTTTATCTTTTATTTACTTTTATCTTTAAGAGATGTTAGTGACTGGTGAAGGGTTGATGCTATTCTGGCTCCTGGGGCTGCAATGAGCAGGGTGTGTGTGAGGCTTCAATGCTGCTCTTCATGTAAACACAGAAATGTGGCACTGAAATGATGAAGCTCAATCCTGTGTTGGCTGCATATCCAGGACACCCTGAGCTGAGCTGATTCTGGCCTATGATCATAGAATTCCAGACTGCTTTCAGTTGGAAGGGACCATAAAACTCATCTTGTTCCACCCCCTGCCATGATCAAGGTTGCTCCAAGCCCCTTCCTATGCTTGTGCTGAATACCTGACAGGGGCTGTGGTGCACACACAGCTCAGCTCTGCTGAGGAGCTGGACTGGGGCTTCTGTCACTCTGTTTTGCCCCATCCCTGGCAGTGTCTGAGGCCAGGCTGGACAGGGCTTGGGGCACCCTGGGATAGTGGAAGGTGTCCCTGCCCATGGCAGGGGCTGGGAATAGATACACATTAAGGCCCCTCCCACCCCAAACCATTCTACACTTCCATGAATTTTAGTCAAAATCCACCTACACTTCCCCCACATTTGCAAAGCCCAGCTGTGTTTCTGTCTGTGATGCTGTTTGGTGCAGGTTTGAGTTTGTCTACAATTACCTGTACCTGGCCAACCTTCGGGCCAACTGGGACGAGGTGAAGCGGCAGGCGGAGAAGGCACCGCAGCCCGAGGCCCGCAGATACGTCCTGCCCCTGAGCATCGACAAGGTACTGGAGCCTGCTGCTCTCCCTGCCAGGCCTCCTGCCCCACTCACTTCAAATTCAACCTTTTCATTAAGAGGGCAAACTTTGAAGTATGGGCTTTCAGAGAAACTTTGTATTTTCTTTAGCTGATCAATGTTTTTCTAGTTTATTTATATGGTTGTCAAGTGAGGTGGTGGCTGCCCCATCCCTGGAAGTGTCCAAGGTTGGGCTGGATGGAGCTCTGAGCAGCTGTATAGTGGAAGTTGTCCCTGCATGTGGTGAAGAAAATGAGATGAACTTTAAGGTCTTTTCCAACCCAAACTCTTTGATGACTCCATGGTTACCGTTCATGGCAGAGCCTGTGGGGCACCACTTTAATACTGGATCTGCTCACAGCACAGAAGGGAGCAGCCACAGCCCAAGCATGTGTGGTTAAATCCTCCAGCCCTCGGTGTGAGGTCCCTGGAGCTGCCAGCCTGGCACAGACAGAGCTCTCTGGCTGGCAGCTGCTGGGTTCCTTTCCATGACCCTGCTCGTGGTGGCTGGCGGGTGGGCCAAGGGCTGCAGGGCACCGGCCAGCAGAGCCTCTCACGGAGCTCACTGGGCTGTGGATCAAGTGAGAAGTGCAAGCCCACGTGGCAGTGCTTAATGAAACCTCTGAATGCCTTCAGCAGGGAGGGAAATTGTGTTTAGGCTGAGGAACAGGACAGTTCTTGCAGCACTGCCAAGCACACGGCAGCGGTCGCCTCCTGCCGCTCCTGAGGCTCTGCCACACGTCGCTGCCTTCCCTGTTCAGCGCTGTTTGCTACAGTTCTGTGCAAATAAACCAAACTTTTCTCCAATCTCTTGGGTACTTATTTCTCTTTGTCACAGGCTGACACAGGGAAGAACCTGGTCACCCTGCCCTACACGACAGCCACAGCGACGCTGCGCAGCGACGAGACCATCTGGCTGGAGCCAGAGGTGATTTTCTCAGGGCCACGTCACGGTACGATGACACCCCAGCTGCCCCGGGTCACAGCAGCCAAGTGCTGCCTGCACACCGTGTCCCACTAACCCTCAGCATTTGCACACATTTCTTTTTCCTTGTAGCCTTTGAATTCCCCCAGATCAACTACACGAAGTACGGAGGGAAGCCATACACGTACACCTACGGGCTGGGGCTGAACCACTTTGTCCCAGACAGGGTAACTATCAGCCAACGGGGGGTGGCTTCAGTTTGGGGACAGCAAGGAGTATTTCTGAGCTCTGTGGTTGTGTGTTGTCCCCACCTTCAGCTTTGCAAGCTGAACGTGAAAACCAAGGAGACCTGGGTGTGGCAGGAGCAGGATGCGTACCCGTCGGAGCCGATCTTCGTTTCCCACCCAGATGCACTGGAGGAAGATGATGGTAATGCTGGGGGGCTTGGTGGCATTGGGATTGGGATTTGGACTGGGAAGTGCTGTGCCAGGCTGGCTGCAGGGCTGTGCCACAGCTGGGCGGGGCAGAGCCTGCAGGCAGCTCCCGGATGAGATGGAACAGGTGCTAACACTGATGGGAATTTTTTGAGGAAACACGGGAAAACTAGAATAAAATTTTGGGGTTGGGAGGAACCTCAAAACTCATCCTGTTCCATCCCCTGCTATGGGCATGGACACCTTCCACTACCCCAGGTTGCTCCAAGCCTTGAACCTGGCCTTGGACACTTGCAGGGCTGGGGCAGCCACAGCTTCCCTGGGCAGCCTGCGCTGTGTCCCTGCCCGTGCGACCACACTCCCGGGATTTCTGGTGCCCCGAGTGCCAGGGCTGCTCTCGCCTTGCCCAGCCGGGGTCAGACACAGCCCACACCCACCTGGGCCACACCCACCGTGTTCTCACCTTGCAGGGGTGGTGCTGAGCATCGTGATCAGCCCGGGGGTGGGGCCCAAGCCCGCCTTCCTCCTCATCCTCAACGCCAAAGACATGAGCGAGGTGGCCAGGGCCGAGGTGGAGGTGAACATTCCCGTGACATTCCATGGGTGCTTCAAGAGGGCGTGAGCACAGACAGCAACACCTGCCCCGGGCTTCTTACAGCTCCCAAAAGGTGCAGTCTCCGTTTACAGGTGACCCCAACTCCTTCCACAGTCCTTTGCATTTGTGGGGCTGCTTAGCTCAACTCAAGCAGTTCAGTCTTGTCAATGATTCTTCAAAATGGTTAATCAGGTATTTTTAAAATACACCCTTTGGTACCATTTCCAGTTAAACCACAAGTTGGAGGTGGTGGAGAGGCTCTGTTTGTGCAAAATTAAACTTTGTAGCTGCAGCAGAGTGAAGAGGCTAAAAGAGCAGAGAGTAACCTCAACACTTTTACATGACATGTGGTAACCTTGTGTACAGCTGGCTGTGCTCTGTTACAAGGTTGAGAATTTTTAGCCTCTACTGAAGGATTCTGGATTTAAACATCATCCTGGTCATTTCTGTGGTATCCTCAGAGCAATCCCAGTGGAGCTGTGCCACAGCTGCTTTGGGAATCCCAAGAGGGTGGCAGGTAGAGTTTTGTTCTTCGCCCAGGCTGCAAACTGCACACCTTCCCTTGTGTGTTTGCTCTTTTCCCTTTCTTTAGTCCAAGTGCAGCTCCTTGATTTCTGGATTTTATGTTAAAACATGGACATGAAAAAATCAAGCAATTGTTACCCCCTGGGCTGACTTTGCTTTCTTAGAGTGCTACAGATGTTCAGCTTAATCCTTCCTTCTCCCAAAATAAACTTCCAGCTCATGTTAAAAGAGGTTATTGTTGAGAATAAAAACTTCCTGCCAGCAGATTTAAAATCTGGGATTCTTGTTTGTCTTCAGTTGTTCAACACTTTTATTAATGGTATCAAAGAATTATAAAATGTTTATACTCAGAGTTCTGGTAGAGGGTTCTGGTTTGAGGGGGCTGCAGTTACATCCTGATGATGGGATGGGGACAGGGAGACACAGCGTGGTACTTCTTCTGTTCCATGATCTCCAAGCACTGGGCAATCACCTAATTAAAAACAAAACCAAACAAAAAAATAAACAATGAGCCTAAAAAAAAAAAAAAAACCAAAACAACAGTACAACTCATTAGTTCTGTGCTTATTTATTTGTTCCTTCTGTTTGTGAAACACTGAACACAGTAAAATGAACAGTTTAACTCTCACTTATTTTCATGCGTAGCTCATAAAGTGGGAATTTCAGGGCTCTAGGACTAAAAAAACTTCTTGGTGCTCTCCCATTATCAAAGTTCCCATAAACTCCATGAAAATATTTACCATCCACATAGTTCCATAAATATGCACCATATTTAGAAGGGCTGTGTTGTGATTTAACCCCAGCTGAAACCAGGACAGACTGAGATCTTCAAGTAAACAAACTTCAGAAGTGCAGAGAAGATTTTTATTGCTAATAAACAATCTAACAAGGAAAAAATAAAAGAACAAAGGCAGCAGTTTTCAGAAAGAACCTAATGGAGAGAAGGATGTCTGCTAATTTTAAATCAATAAAAAGGCAGGGAAGCATCCCAAATGTACACAGCAAATTTAAAGCAGGAAGAGAAAATTGCAACAAGCAACATCCCAGGATAAAAGAATGTTTTGGAAACAAAAGGAATTCTTGAACTCCAAAGAATGAAGATATGGGTAATTATATGGGAAAAAGGGATTCAGATGCAGATTCAAATTATGGTGAAGTTAAAGGAGAGGCTCAGTGGGGAAATGCTGTGGTCAAGTAACCAGAATTCAAGAGAAACTTTTAAAATAAACTAATGGGGAAGAGACAGGATGAGAACTATAGAGAAATTCCATGGAGTGAGAAGTGGGAGCCCCAGGTCTGGAATCAGCACATTGTCAACCCTGAGGGAGTCATGTTCACCCACTGTGAGACTGGAGAATAAAATGGCCTAAAAGGAAAACCCACCTTCCTGGTGTCTTGAGGTAGAATGATCCCATCATCCCAGAGCCTGGCAGAGGAGTAAAAGGCACTGCTTTCTTCTTCTAGCCTGAAGAGGGCAGGGAATTGAACAAGCACAATAAAAACAGCAGAGCAGTGAAAATAGATTGCAGCTGAAACAGGCAGATCCAGCCACCTGAGGAGAATGGGCAGCACTGCTGTTAAAATTAGTCAGAAACCAGCAAATAACAGAGCTGACCATTCTGCAGTAATGGGAAGACCCTAACAGAAAGGCATTGAACTACGTGGAAATTTAAAATATTTTTGCAGTAGATCCATGTTTGTTTCATTAGTTGGGATGTGTTGCTCTGTTAGATGAACAAAAGTAGGTAATTTAACAATGAAATCCCTGTCAGGTTTATAATGAATGTCCTTACTTTGCCTTCAGCTGTTTTAGCTCCAGTTCCTCTCCTGTCCAGTCCCCAGCTGGTGGGACTGTGGGGAAATGTTGAGAATCAACAAGACCAACTCTTGCATTGGGCCACAGGAACAGAAAGTTTGGACTGAATGATCTCCCACACTACAAGGAAAAAACCAAAGAACAGAACAAACTCACTGAGAGGAATCATAAAGAGGAGTCTGTGGGGTGAAACAACCAAGGGCAAGGCAGGATGGAACACAGGTGGATTTGTATGAGGACAAACACCCTGTGCTAGGAACCACCACCTCCCCACTGCCTTCAATATTTCTATTTTAATATTTCATTTTGAATTCCAAGCACTTCCATGTTTAATTCTTCCATGTTTACTTTTCAGCAATCACATGCAGTGTTGCATTTCTTACTTAAATATGAGTTCAGAGCTCGAGCTCCCCAGCTGTGTTTTAGAAATGCAGTGACACTTGAGCAGTGTGACAGGTGTGTCCCCAAGCCCTGGGCTGGTGCCACCCATACCATGATGTAGCTGTCACTCCCAAAACAGCCTCCAATGACAATGGTTATTTTGGGAACAGCAGCACAGGCAACTGCAGCCATCATGGAGGCCTGAGCCTTCAGCCTATTGGAATGAGCCTCTGCCTGGAATAAAAATAGATATTTTAGATCCTTTAAGACTTTATTCTAGATTCTCTCCACTCCCAACAAACTTGTATTTCAAAATTATCTATTTATTTATTTACAATTCTGCAGAAACAGATCTGGGATCTAATGGAGATTTTGTTTTCCTTAGTCCAGGAAAAATCCTACTGGGCTTTAATACCTTCACTTTCAAAAGAGGAATTGCCAATTTTCTGGAGTGCAGAGCTAGCAGGGGAATCAATAAGCTGTATTTCAATGTCAAAAGCACTGCAAGTTCCAAACTTTCCAGCCTGCCTTGCTAACTGAACAGTATCATTTTACATCAGCATCCAGCCCTGCTTAAAATTCAAGTGAGAACGCTCTTAAATCTTTTCGTTAGCAAAGTCATTATGAAGCTTCATCAAGAGTGGTTAAAAAACTAGTTTTCCTAACAGTTAATAATTCTGAAAATGTAACTTTAGGCACAACAAGAACTCAGAGTTGTTTGAAATGCATTGAAGCAAACATGCCATACCTGTGAGATGCTTGCAGGCCCTGCTGGCTGTGGAGCAGTGTTTTGGAGGAAGAGGATGGGAATTCCCCTCTGGCCACAGAGCTGGACAAAGTGGCTGCCCTTGAGAGAAGCATCGTGAGCCAGCTCCCCATTGCTGGCCACTATCCCCACCAAGTGCCTGCAGAACAAACACGGACAGTTGGACTCCATGATCTGAGAGGTTCTTCCCAACCTCAGCAATTCCATGATTTTTGAGCCCTAGGACTGATTGGAATGGCGGGGAACCTGCTGAGGACACAAAAGCTGTTGAGAAATGCATTCCATCCATTTGGATGGGGAATGTTCCCAGCCATACCCTTCCACATGGCCAAATCCTGTCACTAGTGTTGTTCCATAAGTAGCCTTGAATTCCTGGAATCTGCTTCCATCCACCAGCCGGCTCAGAACCTGCAAAGCAATACACAGACTTTACTTTACTAGAGAAACTGAGGAGACTTCTGCTAAAAGAAATGCTCTTCAAACAGTACCTGAGTTATGCAAGATGGGTAGATGGTCTTTGGGTGACTTGCTAAATGCTCAATATGCTTAAACCTTCCAAATTTGTGTTCAGTTTAATTACCAACTGTGTATTTTAAGACAAAGGCCAACTCCAAAATTATTTTAGTTTTACAAAGCACATTTGTTCCTGTGCATAAAAATGTAAAATAGCAAAAACCAAACCCCAGTGTGTGCAGTTTCAGATTTTGTGCAGAAGAAATGCTTGGTTCATATGGCTCATGCTTTTTTCCAACACAGTTAAAAGCTGCCTTCAAAGCTTTCTACAGTCAATTCCCTCAAGTGCAAGAATTTACCACTGGAAAACATACTGCATTCACATCTATGGAGACAAAATCTCATGTAGAACACAATGGAAACAGCGTGGGCAGCTCTGCATATCTCTGCTTAAGCTTTAGTGTCTGTCCCAACCTCAAACAAGTTTGATCTGAGCTGTGTTGGTTTTTCAGTCAGTAATTTCACCATTTATTTTACATCATCTTGAATACTTGGGGAGAAGAAACAAAAAGGTAGGGGAAGGGAAACACAGGCATTAAAGGATTGTATGTTCTTAAGGCAGTGAAAAACAGAAAGAAAGCATCCCAACAGTGCATAGAAACAGCTGGGCAGCACTGGCACAATCTGGGATTATTTTATCTCCAGCAGGATTTCAGGTTAAATATCTTCTATTATCCCACAGAACTGTTGCCATCCTACTTTGTTTCAGGCTTAGGACAGGCTGGCAACAGATGAGGTAATAATTCAGGATAACACCTGGAGCTGTGGGATAGAGCAGAGTGAAGGATGCAAGAATGAAATCCCTGCTCCCTTACCAGTTTGACAGGAAGAGTGCAGCTGTAACCCAGTGGTGCCAGGCCCAGGAGCTCCTCAGGGCTGTACAAGGGACTGTCAGGTTCCCTGTCCTGCTGTGGCACTGGTTCACAGTTTAAGGTAGAGACAACATTACGAATGCACTCATAGGCCTCCTCTTCTGAGAGTGCAAAATGGTCACTGCAGCCACTGACTCTAGGAGACAGAGACATTCATTAGCACTGAATTAATGAGTTCTGAGTCCTGAGGGAAAACCCATACTCTAGGGGAAAAGCTGAGACTCTCCAAATGCCCTATGGAAATCTGTGTGATTTGTTTCTGTATGAATGAACTGAAAGCAGTCACTCAGTGGAATTTCTGTGCAGTCCAATCCCAAATTAAATTCACAGTAAGGAGTTGTTCCTCCCCGTGACTTTTGTGTATATTTGGATTAAAGAAACACCTTGGCATTTATTTTTGTGATGCTGTTGTTGCAGACAATATCAAAAAGGGAAAAGACAAAAGCATACTTTAGGAGCTATTTCAAAATAAGTGTTTGCAGCCAAGATATAAAGACAGGAATGCATTCCATGTAGCATAATTGGGTTAAATATGTATATTCTAGAAAACACTTGGAAAAGAGGAGATAGCATCCCTCCTCTGTAGCTGCTCCTTGTGAGGCACAGAGGAAATTACTTGCCTGAAGTTGTTCAAGTGTATATTGTTCAAGAAGTATGTGGAACAATAGACATCCGAATCCAACCTGTCCAGTCCCTGCCTCACCCCATCAGTAACTTCATTTTACTTCCCTTTGGCTGATTTAACCCAAACCCCTGAACCTGAGAAGTCAAGCCAGTGTAACCACAGGTTCCACTCCAAGCCCTGCTCTGAAACGCCAATGCCACATTCCTTTCAGGCTGAGCATGCTGAATTCCCTGGTTTTGAGAATACTCCACACACTGTGAGTGAAGCCTGGCTCCTCCAAGGTCCTCAGGAGAGACATCTTCTCCCGTGGCAGCTTTCACCAGGGGTGGCCCAGCAAGGAACAGTGTCCCAATTTTATCAATGATCACGGATTCCTCAGCCATGGTGGGCACATAGGCACCTCCAGCCACACAGGAGCCACACACCACGGCCACCTGAGGGGACACAGACACAGCAGTGCTGCAGAGGGGACAGGAAAGGCAAAGCCAAGCCCAAAGTTGTTTCAGAAATGCAGAAAGTGCTAAATCACAGCTTGGGGAACAAACCAGAGACAGAACAAAATTTATTACGCATTTACACCTTTCCTACACCCCCGTGCACTCCCCATGCCACTGTACCTGAGGGATTCCCATGGCAGACATGATTGCCTCGTTGTAGAAAATCCTGCCACCGTGCAGCTTGTCAGGAAACAGCTCTGACTGAAGGACAGGGAAAAGAAAAAGGGATTTTTAATGTTAACTATGAAACTTGATGCTTCCTCTTCCCTCCATTCATTCCCAAACACACCAAAACCAACCCTGGGAAGGTCCCATTAATAATCACTCCTGAACCTTTCATTAATAGCATTCATTATGTTCCTTCATACATTGTTAAATTCCAAAAAAAAACCCATTTGCTTTGAAATCCCACATTAAGTTTTGTGATTTTTTCTGAAATCAATATATTCTACACAAACTGACTGCAAATGTGAAGGGAAGGGTGGTAGCTCTACTTCATCTGTGAAATGTCTTCAGCAGTTTCCTTTTTTACTTAGCTTTGGATACAATTCCAGGTAACTTTTAAAGTTTGATAACTTTAAATATCTTTAAAATTCCAGGTAACTTTTCCTGTGTGCTTGCCCTCAGTGTGGATAGAGAACACCTCCTGTCTCTATGACAATGATTTCTGCATTTCACCAAAGAACCTGTTCAAATTCTTATTTTGCAGTCAGAATTGCAAAAACTCCACTTTTAAAGGCCACAGAGCTTAGTGCACCACTGGCACAAACAGGACAATAAAATACAAACACTTTAGAGATTCTGGAGTGAAAATGGACACTTCCCACTATGTACTCATTTATCAGACACAAAAGCAGCTCAGCGCACTCACTGGAGTGTCTAACCTCTGATCAAGTGGGAGGTGCAGGACTAGCCCAGGTGATGAAATAAATACTGATATTTTCTGCTCTGCAGAGTGCCAGCAGTACCTGCAGGGGTAGGAAGGCTCCCCCGCTGTCCACCAGGTGCACAGACAGCAGCCTGTTCTCCATGGCAATTTCCTGGGCTCTCAATTGCTTTTTCACTCCAATTGGGTAAATGGTTCCTCCTTTCACAGTGGCATCACTTGCAATGAAGACACACCAGACCCCACAGATCCTGCCAATTCCTGCAAGCAGTACCATAGATATTTATCAGGACTCTCTAAAGCAACAGGCAAAGCAAGAGGGGCAAACTTTTAAACTTTTTCAGGAGTAATTTTTCTCAGTAATGCTACATCAAGAAGGTTCAAATTAACGTGAAAATACCAAGCAGGGAAGAAATTTACACTCTTCTCTGGAATTTCAGTGTTTAAAAAAATAATCTAAATGACAGAAGAACCTCAAATAAATTTACCTAATTCTGCTGACAATGTAACAGAAAAAAATACACTGTAACTCCCAACCCTTGAGATAAAAAGGAAGGCAATTAAAAATTACCCTTGCAAAACTGAAAATTATAACAATCTGTAATGAAAAAAGGATTTTTATACTTTTCTTCTGGTTACTTTTTAAACTGGAACCACTCTTCTAAATGCAATTTCACTGATACTGAATAAAATTGAATTTCATTGAAATTCAATGAAATTTCATTTTGAAGAGCTGTTCCAGTTTAAAGAGACGTCTGCAGAGAAAATGCAGTTGTCTGTGATTTGAAAAACGCTTCAAAATGCATGTCACAGCTCCTGTTTCTCACAGTAACTTTGTCCTCTCTCTGTTAAGAGGCAACAGCTGATTTGACACATCACCCTACAGTTTTTGAGACAAAAAAATTAGTAAGTGGTAAGTAGAATTACTAAATCTAGAAGGAATTAAAAACCATTTTTTCAAATGTTTCTCCCATTATAGTAATACAGCAGTGGCTGAACTCTTCCCTGTTGGGAAGAAGAAGGTTAACTTTTCCTAGGAAATCACTTCAGATACTAAAATACCCCATAAACTTTATTCCATGCATCCTTTCCCCCCACGGTTTTCCTTTCCCAGTGCCCCCAGCATCCCACTACCCGTGAGGCAGCCGGCAGCAGGGACATCCCCGTAGGGCAGGTCCAGCCCTGCCAGCGGGGACAGCTCCAGGAAATCCGCATGGTCCAGCAGCAGCCTCAGGCGCTCCCGCACCAACACCTTCTTGTTGCGCTGCGTGTGCCGCAGGACGGCGTTTTCTCCCCCTCCTTTCTTCACCCTCTCCAGCAATTCCGAGTACCTGATGGGAAAAAAGCCCCAAAGTCGATGGGAACAAAGCTGTGGGGAGGGATGGTTTCGGAGGGACACGGACGGGGAAGAGGTGGGGCTGGAGGAACCTCAGGAGTCCAACGCGGCCAAGGGCAGGTCCTGGAGAATCCCAAGGACAAACACGGGCTGTGGGAGAAGGGATGGAGAGGAGCCCTGGGAGGATTTGGGGTGTTGGTGGATGAGAAGCTCATCCTGCCCCGTCCAGAGGAACCCCCGGAGCTGCTGCAGGGCTGGAGCCCCTCTGGAGCCAGGCTGGGAGAGCTGGGGGGGCTCCCCTGGAGAGGAGAAGGATCCAGGGAGAGCTCAGAGCCCCTGGGAATGTTCCCCTGGAGAGGAGAAGGATCCAGGGAGAGCGCAGAGCCCCTGGGAATGTTCCCCTGGAGAGGAGAAGGATCCAGGGAGGGCTCAGAGCCCCTGGGAATGTTCCCCTGGAGAGGAGAAGGATCCAGG